AATAAAATAACTACAGTGAGATATTTTGACTTAATGACTTCCTATTTGGGAAGATAAAGATTTAGTCTTCTTATGCCACATCCTCTCCAACCTGTTCTCTATATTCCCGATATAGTTTAGCAGGATGTAGAATTCTGAATCAGAAATCATCTTCTCTGAATCTTGGAGGCCAAAATATATCCCAGTGAGTTCACCGTAGTTCGTAGTGATTGCCTTTTCCCTTCCCCTGAAATAAAATACCCCATCCTTTGAACAATCAGTTCTAGGACCGTGCATGCCTTTGATATGATTACTAGAATACACCTACTTCCCCTTTTTGAAAAGCAAAATGATATTAGATCATCCACAATCCCCTTGGACTTCTGTTCTCCATGATTACTAACCTCATTTGTCAGTACAGTACCCTCGGTGTAATTAATATGGGCTATTTGGAGCACTATAACAGGGAGCCCTGATCTCATCTGACAAAGTGACATTTAAGTTGAGATCTGAAAGATGAATAGCAAAGGCTGTGAAAGCATTCCCGCAGAGATGGCTGCAAGTGCAAAATCTGTCAGGGGAAAAAGAGCTTTGGGAACTCAAGGGATAAAAGGTGGCCAGTGGAGCGTAGCTTGGTGAGTAAGGGGGAGAGAAGGCTCACTGGAGGCTAGAGAGGAAGGCAGCGGTCAGAGAATTCAGAACCTTGTAGTTGAGGTTAAGGCAAGATTTGGGACTTATCCTAAAAGCAATGAGCAGCTACTGAAAAGTCATAAGCAGGGGAGTGATTTGATCTGATCTGTCTTCCAAAGACTTCTGTGGTTGCAGGGTGGGGAATGAATTGGAAAGGGCCAATAGTTAGGAAGATATGGGTAAAATTGGTTTTACATCAACGTTAAGGCCAGCTTTGTAAGGGAGAAAGAAATTTCAAATGGGCAAAAGGTAGTCTTACGAGGTATTTTGGGGGTTTTTGTTTTATTTATTTATTTATTTATTTATGGCTGCGTTGGGTCTTCCGTTGCGGCAAGCAGGGGCTACTCTAGTTGTGGCACGTGGGCTCAGTAGTTGTGGCTCACGGATTCTAGAGCATAGGCTCAGTAGTTGTGGCACACGGGCTTCGTTGCTCCGCGGCATGTGGGATCATCCCGGACCAGACCAGGGCTTAAACCCGTGTCCCCTGTATTGGCAGGCAGATTCTTAACCTCTGCGCCACCAGGGAAGTCCTTATGAGGTATTTTGAAAGCTCAGCAGAGACCTTTGAATTTCTTCAACTTGCTGATGGCCGTGATAGAGATGCTGATATAACAGCTTCAAATTTTTTTTTCTTTCTTTTCTTAGTATTAGACGAGGAAGTGACTCTTCCTTCTCATCATTCCCCTCCTGCTAGATCCCTGAATTGCTGATCAACCAATTGATCCCAGAAGCAATTTGCTCCCCTCCTTCCCAAGCATGGACTGATGAACCCGGTGCCCTAGTGGGTGTTCTGCCCATTTCCCATGGTGAGATTTCTGAGGGGTTGAGGTAGAAGGTGGGAAAGAGCAATGGGGGTGATAGAGAAGAAGGGCTTCCAAAGGGCTTGCACAGAAATAGGGCAGCAGGACTGAAATGGTCAAGGAACATTTTCCCTTCCCTTTCCGAGACAGTACAAATTATATCTAGTCAAGACGGTAATAAGGGCAGAAGACCGCTTCCTCTGAACTCCTGCCTGCAGGAGCCTGGGGCTTCTACTGCAGTCAGCTGATGCACCACAAGAGTTGGTGTTATATACCAAGAGGTCTGACAGTTTAGACAGGAGGAAGTTAGTTTTTGCAGTTCTGTTTATGGAACTGGCCAAATGAAAATGCTGGGTGATGGTCCACTTTTCATAGCCAGTGACAACAGCTTTCTACAACACCTGGGTTTCTTTTGGAAGCTGTGAAGAGGCACTGAAAAGAACAAAAATAATTTCTTCTTATCTAAAAAAAACACCTCACAAAGGAAAGAAAATCTAAAGGATGGGTGTGTGAGAGTAACTCTAATTCAGGTTGAGTTTGGATATGGAAATAAATTACCTTGCACAAATTTCATGTTTTGCTGAGCATATTTATGTGGAATTGCATTTTTATAGTCAAGCAAATTAATCTGGACCCAAGAGTATAGGTGTTGTGATGAAATAAATTAGGAGGACAGAGAGATGGTGAAATTACAATAACAAATGAAAATATGACCAACAATACTGCTATATCTTGGGAGATTCTAAAAGCCTTGCTTTTAAGCTGGGCAACGTGGCAATGGCATGTGAGAAAATACACAATGATATATGAGAGAATACTGAAAAACAATTTCCAGTTCTCTAAATTTTTTTAAGTTGATCTGTTTGAATCTATAAGCTAAGTACATTTTTTCCATTCATTTAACAAAATTGAATATGGAAAGATATTACTTATTATTTATTAGTAAGCACTTGCATCCCCAAATGTCTAAATTCATTTTCTATTACCAATTTTATTGATAAGGATGTATTTTATTGATAAGGATTCCAGACTTATACCTAGAACAAATGGCAATATGCTCTTCCACCTCCAAATTCCAGTCAGTGTCTAGAATAGTGCCTGCCACATAGTAGGTGTTCAACAATTAGTGAATTAAATTACGTTAGTCGTTCTGCTCAATAAAAGTAAAGCCAGAAAATACACTTTTTCTATTTGAAAATAAATCTTTGAAAGAGTAGAGAGCAAAACCTTAGATCCATTTTGCCAATAAAATAAAATATCCTAATATCTGACTAACAGACATCTAACATAAATCTTAAAAATCACTAGATACAGCCTTAAGTGTGAGTAAACACAAGGAACCATCATAGGGAAAGAACTGGAAACGCACGGTTTTACTTCTTGGCAATTAGGACAGTTTGGGAACATACCTTAAGTCTCCTGCGTTTGCATTTCAATGAGGATGGGTACTCGTGGCTCACACTATCAAGTGCAAACTTCTAGGGTGTTTCTGAAGATCCTTTTGGGTTTGAGTTCCTCCGGGCCGTGCCCGCCCACACATGCTGGGCGTCTGCCAAGACGGTGTGCTCTTTTTCTTAGATTCTCCGGCACTTCCTCACCGACCTCTCCCTCCACCCTGGATTTTGCCCACTGCGCTCCTTCTAAAGCCTTCTCATATTGTAGGGTCCAGTTTAACCTCCAGCGCTTTCGAGAAAGCTTCCCCGACCCCCTTTTCAGATTTACTAGGGCTCTCAGCACTTGGCACCTCTAGTCTAGCAGCCATTACTTCTAACCTGTTGTTTTGGCATGTGGGTAGCCCTGACCAGAGCGCGACACCTCCCCCCACTCTGGGGAGGTCTTTTAAGAAGTCGCCGTGTCCAGCCCTTAACACAGCCTGGTGCAAAGAAAATGCCCAGGAAAGGTCTGTTGAAATGAATCTAAACCCCAGAGGGGAAAAGGAGAAGCGCTTGCGCCCAGCAGTAAAGGCCCTTCACGACCCAAGGGTAGGCCCGCGGTGTAGCTGGCCCCTGTCCCCAGCGGCACACTGGCAGGAGAAGGTGGCACGGTAGAGGCTCGTGGAGATGCCCCTGAACTTCCTTTACTTATTTCTTCTTTACTTTTTCAGAGGAATCTGAACGTTCTGCTCCAACAGCCTCGGGGCACGCCGTAAAGGGCGGTGCAAACCGGGCGACGTGGGGTTGGGACGGCCAGTCTCGTGACAATTCTAGCCTCGGCTTTCATATGTAATGTTTAAAGTTTCGCAAATTCCAGTTCTAAACTAGGAGCCGAGGGTGGAGAGCGTTTCCCGGTGCACAATTTTTCGCGTCCTAGGGAAGGCTCCGGGCATTCGGGGCTTTGCCTCACGTATCCTTTTCACATTTCCCACCGCAGGGAATCTACCGAGCGCTCCTGGCCTCCACTTCCAGCCCGAGCTGAGAACCGCGGTTCGGCCCAGCGGTCTCAGCCGCTTCCTCCTTCAACCCTCTGGGCAAATCCCGTGCGGGCGTGTGGGGGAGCTCCCAGCCCGCAGTACTAGGAGGAATAGGGGTGCGGCGGGACTACAACTCCCAGGCTGCTCTGGGAGAAGCGAGGGGGTGGGGACGAGAGGGAGGAGTTTGGGGAAGGGGGGTTGTCAGGGAAATCCCGCCCCGCTGCACAGCAGCAACGACACAAAGCCTGACTTTACAACCTAATAGAGAAAGTGGAAGTGAGACGGTTTAGGTGGGGAGACAGGACGAGAGAAAGAACCAGAGGAGGGAAAGCCGCGTAGGTGGGAGCGGAGCGAAGCAAGGGTAGTGGGGAGACCCGTGCCTTTCCAGATGAGGAGGGGGCGGCTTTCGTAACTAATCCCCCCGCCCGCGCCCCGCCCCGCTCCGCCCCGCCCGCGCTGGGGTCTCTACAGCGCCCTGCCGGTCCCGGCTCCTCGCGCAGACCCCGGCTCCGCCCCGCCGGGAAGCGGGGAGCCCGGCTGTCTGGCGGGTTTGGGACGGGCCGGCAGGCTGCACCGTGGCTCCCCAGCCCGGGTGCGAGACGAAAGCGCCGGGCGGGCGACGCGGCTGCCGCGGACTGAGGAGGGGCTGCCAGCGAAGCGGCGCGGCGGACGAGTTAGGGCCGGGGCAGGGCAGGCTGTGGCTCCCGCCCGAGCCAGGGGAGTAGTTTCGGGCTGAGGCGAGGTGAGGCGCGGGGCGCCTTGGGAGGGTCCCCGGTGGCCGCGAGCGGGGCGGAAGCACGCGGGCTGGCCGCAGGGAGGGCGGGCTGTGGTTCCGCGCCGGGGAAGAGTGCAGACGGCGGGGTGCCGAACCTGGCGCTGGTGGAGCGATCGGGGCGGCCCCTCTCCCTGCAGGAGGAGCCTAGTGCTCCTCCGCCATCCCTCCCCTGCGCGCTCGGCTCGCTTTCTCCGTGGGCTGCTGCGGGAGCGGTGGGGCGGCGGAGCTGGGGGAACGGCGGGGCCGCCGTCCCCGGGACGGGCGGGGCGGGGGCGGGCGGTGAGTGAGGCGGGCGGGGGCCGCGGGTGCGAGGGCGCCTGGGGGCGGGGGGAGTGAGGAGAGCCGCTGAGGGCGGGCGGGTGGCGGGGCAGCCAGCCTCGCCGTCCGTTTCGCGCCGCCGGCCCACGCCGCAGTGTGTGTTGTGGACGGCACCTTCTCAGACAGCCCGGTAGAGCCCAGCTCGGCGCCCGGCAGCCTTCGACGCGATGTTCCGCCGGAGCTTTAACCGTTTTGTAAGTACACTCCCTGCGGCTCCACGCGTGCCGGTTTGCTTGCTCGCCGGCCCCTTCGTCCGGTCCCTCAGAACAATTTTCTGAGGGGATGGCTCCATCTCTGGGAGACACCACCACCACCCGTTTTTACATTTTAACTGAAACACGCTGCCCAGGCGGCCAGGGTGGGAAGGCAGGTAGGGCTCTCGGAGCAGCCCCCCACCCCGTCCCCGACCCCGGACAATTTGTCCGGAGCTTCCCGGGGCTGTTACAGACCCTACCTCGGACGGGGGGCCACTCTCGGGCTGGATGGGGAGGCACCCGTGGAGGGACCGACCCAGGGGCCCCTCGGTTTGCGAATTAGTCGAAGATGGCGTTTTATTATCAGGGAGGTTGCTTTCTTTTGTTTCCTCTGCCACGAGCACATGGAGGTAAACCTAGACCTGTCACCGTGGCCCAAAAAAGACCTGGGGGCTGAAGGGTGAGAGGCTGGGGCCGGCCTCAGCCTTGCCCGGGGCTCGGCCGGCTGCTGACCCGAGGCCGGGCAAACTTTGGAGACCCAGCCTAAGCCTCTCACCTTGAGGGTATAATAAAAGCGAGGGTGATCGTCAGGGTGGGTTGGGTGGAGGTGGAGACGCGAGGAGGCTGCGCCGCCGCTGCCGAGCGCCGGGTCGGAAGCCTCGCCGAGCCCCGAACACCCCAGACATTGACCCAGGGGAGAAGGAAGGGAGCTGCGGCTGGACTCCTTCGTCCACGTTGACCCCCTCCCACAACCCCAGAAAAGGGAATTTCATTGCCGAGGGAGTTTGGCACCGGGACAAGCGATTTCTGGCTACTGACTTTTTTGAGTAATCTGTTTACTCCTGGAGGGTACCTTAAGAATGGAGTAAAACCGGGACCATTTACTTCTATGCTGCTATTTGTAGCAACTTCCTTAATTGCAAGATGAGGTGGCGGGAATAGGATTTTATTTCTGCCAATGATGTGAAAGAAAGGGTTCGTCTGTAAATTTTCATTTTTCTGTCCTTAGGAAAAATGGTTGAGCGCTGTGAGCGCCCACCACCCCCCTTCCAATGTCTGTTTGAGAACTTGTCGGTTTGGCTCTTTTCCTGCGATTATTCCTAATCGAAGCGTTGCTAGCATTTTTCATGCGTCGGATGAATTTACTCTCATGTTTTTCTGCGCTTGAAACTTTCTCAAATGTACCCTGGCTAAATGAAATAATTGTACATCCCATTTAAGAATGTTATTATCACAATAGTGCTATGTTAATGTTTTTCTAAACGTTTACCTCACCCAGAAGCCGTGTCTTATGAAATTGGAGCAGGTTTACCTGTGGCACAGAGCAGTAGAGGTTGTGCATATCAGGATTTTGAAATCCGTAGCAATTGGATTGTACTGGATGCTTTGCTAAAGCAAGTGACTAAAATTGGTTTCTCACATTTAGCGTGAGAAGGTAAAAGAGCATTGTACTTCATAGTTCTGTTTCACATAGATTCTTGTGATCCTGGAGTGTTGTTTGGGGGTGACAAAAAGGGAAAGGTGACAAAGAGGACTAATTGTAATATTTGGGAAAAGGATAATCTTTTCAATGGCTCTCTTATACTGGAAAACAACTGGCCTCTGGTTCATAATAAATTCATTAGCTCAAAATTGAGATCATTTGAAACCTAACAACCCAAGTATCAGTCTAAAAGCCCCCTTTGCTTTTCTTTTGCTTAGCGTGATCTGCGTTGTATGAGTCTAGTAATGAAGCAGTGCTGGCCCAGGAAGCTAGGGCATGCAGCAGAATTTGCAGCAGTTGTTGAGGTGCCAGCCTGCAGGTTTGAGGCTAGTACTTTGCATCCCTGTCCAAGATCTCTGCAGAGAATCACTTACGCTCACACTGAAAAGAGCTTTGACCTCATTGTTTCGGCTGGAATGCCCAGCTGCTCACATTTTCCTGCGCAGCCAGGACTATGGTTAAGTCTCCAGCATTTGTACCAGTGCAGTAAATTGAAAGCTTCTCAGGAGTTGTATCTGAGCCCTAGGCCTAGGCCAAGGAATTAATCTGCAAACCCTTGGACTGAATGTGAAACATGCTATCAAATACTCATTGCTAAAGAATGACTTCAAAAAAATTTTTTGGTGGTGGGGGGCGGCAAATTGTAGCTCCCCGAATCAGTGAGCCAAACACTCCTCATCTTTAGCCTGGTAGAGATTGAGGGGCACTCCCATTTACATCACTAGAAGGATACAGTTAAAGATTTAGGTTGGACTTGGCCTTGCACAGCAATGTACATGCAGTCTAAGTTGTGTGCTTTTATATTTCAGAGATGGGGCTGTGAATTCCTTTCAGAATTGTGTGTTTGTTGTGTGTGTGTACCTGTATGTATGTGAAATTGACTTTGAATGTGATGTAAATTACAGTGGTGTTGCTTATAGTTCTTGGTCACTGAAAACTAGATATTAAGTGTTAGGACAGGGCTTTACATTTTAAGCCTGACATGGGAAGTAGTATCAACTTCTATGGCTCAGTAGTGTTTGCTGAATCGTCTAAAAAATGCCATTTATTTCCCCAGGTTCTGCAGTTTCAAGCTAAACGAAGTAGTGATTCATTGTATTTTTTAAAGACATGGCCTTGACGTCTTTGCCATTAAAAATTGTCTTCTTTCCTTTCTGATGAATTAGGACTTTCCTTTTGACAGTTTTGAGGTAGAAAGAAATTGGTGGATTTGGTGTAGGATTTTCGGATTTAGGTATGTAGGGGGTGTCTTAAAAGATTTAAGAGTTGGATGTCTACAAGTACAGTAAAAGCACCGCCTGTTCCCAGTCAACATCTCCATTCTCCATAAATACAGTAAATAAATAATAGTTGTTTTGTCTATACAATTTATTTCCTTTAAAAGCATGTGTTTTTTTTTAGAAGGTTTTTTTTTTTTTTTTTTTTTTTGGCTGCGTTGGGTTTTCATTGCTGCGCGTGGGCTTTCTCTAGTTGCGGCGAGCAGGGGCTATCTTTGTTGTGATGCGCGGGCTTCTCATTGCGGTGGCTTCTCTTGTTGCGGAGCACGGGCTCTAGGTGCACCGGCTTCAGCAGTTGTGGCTTGCGGGCTCTAGAGCACAGACTCAGTAGTTGTGGCGAACGGGCTGGGCTTAGTTGCTCCGCGGCATGTGGGATCTTCCTGGACCAGGGCTCAAACCTGTGTCCCCTGCATTGGCAGGCGGATTCTTGACCACTGCGCCATCAGGGAAGTCCCTAAAAGCATGTTTAATTGGAAGGCTGGGCTAGTTGAGACTTACGGGTCAGGGACTTTTATGTTATTTTGTCTTTTACCCTTCATAACATTCCTAGTGATTACAATAGCATTTTCACATGGGTTTAAAGGTTTAATGAGAGTCTAAACAATGAGAATTCCCCCCATTTAACTTAGTAAATTATTTCATGCTAATGGTTCAAAATAAAACATTCCTTGATAAAGTAGATCAGGGGGCTTGGCCAAGTGGATGCGGTCTAATTAGCTTGTCAGAGAGTGATATTAAACGGATATGAATTTCTAGATCATTGACATACAAAAGCTTAAGTTTTGAGTTGAAATACTGGAAAAAAATTATATCTCAGATTCTAGAAGCTCTTAAACTGCTTTGGTTCCATAAATCATGCAGCATATAGTAATGATATCACATAGAAATTTTTATATCTGTCAAAGAGGCCCAGGACTGGAAAGAAATTAGACTGCATAAGGTATAATGAAAATTCAAAATAAGACCAAAAATATTCAAAATAGGTAGCCAGTTTACTACCTTGAGTCTGATCTCGGGTGGCCTCGGCCTACAGCGGCTTGAAGCAGGATTTAGGTTCCCCTGCCAGAGATTGAAGTCAGGTCACGGCAGTGAGAGCGCTGAATCCTAGCCACTAGACCATCAGGGCTAGTGGCCAGTGACAAGGACCTGGCCCGTCGGCTTTGTAGAAATGAATTCCCAAAAAGAGACGGAAAATAGTAAAACAAGTGTTTATTAGGAGGAAAAAGGGCTCAGAGAGAGTCGTGCCCTCGTGGTAGTTTGAATCACTTATATGAGGTGTTTCTTCCAGGTTTCCCTTGGCCAATCATCCTCCTTTGCCTGATTCTTTTTTTTTTTAAATGAATTTTATTTATTTATTTATTTAGCCACACCGCACGGCATGTGGGATCTTAGTTCCCCAACCAGGGATCAAACCTGTGCCTCCTGCAGTGGAAGCGTGAGTCTAAACCACTTGACCGCCAGGGAAGTCCCATGACTTTGCCTGGTTCTGAGTCCGTATTTGGTTTATCTCAGGGTCCGCCAATGTGTGTGCATGCATCTCTTAGCCAAGATGGATCCCAGCACAGAGGCCTATGGGTAGGTTGACATCACCTAGTGTGCGGTGGCGCCCCCTCCCTTTTGACCTCCAAGGAGCCTTTTTGTGTAGTCAGGAAGGTCTTCTTAATCCGGAGAATGAGGAGTATGTAGTCTTTTTATCTTTTCTCTGGGCAGGGCTCAGCTCCTCTCTGTTCTCGCTATTCTCTTTGTCTGGGAGTATCTGTCCACAGGGGACAAACTCCAGCTGCTCAGCCTAGGGCCCATCTCTCTCCTGCCTCAAGTCCAAGGCAAGGCCAGTCTAGTGAAGCAATATATGAAGGCAATTAATAAAATTCAGGTAATTTTTTTTTTTAGGGGCAAGGTTTTTTGTTTTCTCCTTGAATTATCATTATCAGGGTAATTAGACTTTTTTTCTCTGTTTCACCTTACTGAAATCCTTGGCCTGACATTGCTGAGCATGGAAAATATTGATGAGTTTATTTTATTGTGTTTAGAAATTTATCTAAATGTATGTATTGCAATATTTTTGCATTTACACAAGCATTACAAATGGCCTGTGTGCATCTTGGCTCCTACCAAGTAGTTCATACGTGGCTGGGTTTAACAGGTGAATTTGTCCCTACTAAAAGCAACCTTTTATTGTCATATTATATTGTAATTTCCTTTTAACTTATGTGGTACCTTACATTAGTCTTTCTCCACTG